TCAATGACATCGACTCATAGCGCTGAAAATTCAGTGCATGACCTTATACACAGTACCAATAAATGCATTTAAAAATCAGATCTGTATCTTTAAATAGTAACCTTCAGATTATAAATGTATCATTCCATTTCCCACGTTTCATAGACACATTATATACCAACCAACATTTACACACGACAATTTAATAAAAATACTTCAGAAACATTTAAGTCCATCAGATATAAATGGAATCTATACTTCAGAAGACATAATGGGACAGTTACAAATATTATTCACCAAATATTTCAGAAGTTATAAAAAAAGATTTACACAACTTAAAGTAGAAGACCTATCAAAAGAAGTAGAGCAAGACGAACAAATTTTGGAAATTCATAATAGAGCTCATAGACACGCCCGACTAACCTTGGAAATACTCCAATTCCGGAATAAAACCATCACAATGAATAAAAGAATTTGGAAAAATTCAGCAATCCATAACCAGAATCATTCATCTGGTTAATTTATAACAAATTAATAAAACATAGACATATACTCCACTGAAAAAAAGCTTATTCTCACTGCCATAGATAAACTTTCCAAATTAGCTCGGTCAAAAATCATAAAATCCAAATCAATAGAAGACATTAAAAAACCTTTACATGATATACTATTTATTTTGGTGTGCCGAAATTCATTGTATTCTACAATGAAAAATCACTTAATTCCGCGTCTATAAGTTAGAGATCAATTAGGCATTTAAATTTAGAAGACCCCTACTTACAAATTTAATGATTCCACTGAAACCCCTGAACGTACTAAAAGCGTGCTTAAAAGTAAGTTTCACCGATAAGCTAAAAGCGTGACAATAACGGTGATCTTATCAACCGACCTGGAATAATATGAAATAAGAAGACGAAAACATAGACAGATCAAGAAATATTCGTCTAAATTAGCACCAGACTCGGTTCAGTCAAAGAAAACTTTCACACAACAGTCACACAAAAAGTTAATGAGTCTCATTCATTTCAAAATATTCTGAATTTTAATTGTACCATCATTGGTTACATCAACGGCGGACATTACGAACTACACGAATGCCGAAACCATCACAATGAATAAAGGTATTGGAAAAATTCAGAAATCCATAACCAGAATCATTCATCTGGTTAATTTAATTTTAACAATTTAAAAAAACTTTAGACAGCTTAAGCTACCACATATCAAAAGACTTTCAGGACCATAATCCACACTTACGAAATAGAAAAACTCGAAGACTGGATCGGTTCTGCATGGAAGTATATTGCAGGGAACCCCGATCACAATGATTTAGTTATCATAGAACACAATCTTAATAATCTAATAACAAATAATAATCAGACTCAATAAACTCACTAAAGTATCCAATGACCTTACAAATTCGATTAAAAGACACAGTTTTCTTGGAATTGACTAGCAATTAGTTTGTAAAATCAAGTCAGGCTAATAAAAGATGTTATTAATATCAGATATGCAATTCAGTGGCCCAAACTTAATATGATAAATTCCATTCTTTTAAATGAGGTAGAACTAAACGAAGTAAAATAAAATATTTAATAGAAATAGAATGTCTTATCGTTCACATAGAAAATAAGGAATTTTTTCACTTTAATACGGAAATGTATGAAAGAAAAGAAAATTGTAAGGAACTCAAAAATGAGAAAATATGTACTAAATATGACATTGTTAATATAAGCAATACCGATTGTATCCCTAATTTAATTAAAGGCGAAAGAGCACTATGTAATTTTAGTAATACTGTGCATATCCCCAAAGACAAGTGGTCGGTATCCTCGTACTTAATAATTTTAACGGTACTATTAGGTAGAATAATACAAGGAACTAACTGGAAGGTAGAAAACTTATCAATTTCTGGAACGACACCATTCACATCAATGAGACAGAATTCAGCAACGTAGAGAAGCCACTTATAATCCCCGAGGTACCCCTAATACAAATCACACCCACAGAAATGGAACGATTAAAAATGTTGTCCCTACAATCACTGGAAGCTTTACATATCAACTTAACAATTTAAAGGAACACACTACCATAAATAGAGCAACCATCACTATACTATTTTGCTTGGCAATTATCTTAACAGCTGCACATCTGTCAAAAGAATAAAAACGTCATTCTACAAATGAACACCATCCCAACAGAAGTCAGGAACATCAGAATTGGAAACCCGAACAACATAGCTCTGCAAGCCACCATTCGACCGGTTCCACAATTTAACAATATACCCTTTTTTCAATACCTGTTTGAGGACATAGTATAATATTTTACAATGTCAAGAAACTAGAAACCCTAATTGTTGCAACAAACCCAAACGCTAAATTATCAGAATAAACAAACACAAGTCGAAGCGACATCCGGACGAAAACAAATGCTGATAACGCACTAGTCACAAGATCGCTACGGTCAGCAAATCTGCCGCTGCATCGCCGCCCACACACCCACTTCTTAGGGATAGAAATTAGTTTTATAGATTTAGTCTGATTTTATCATTCAATAAATTAAATTCGATTTTTAAACAATTAAATTTTAACTTATATAACTATTGACATTAAATATAATCTGTTCTACTGTACCTTTTTTCCAACGCTGCTTGTCAAAAGCACAACTGTCCCTTACCGCTAATTTATGAACAAATATGTAGGTCATGTGGCGCAAAGTACTTCTTGGGTCTCGATATGGGAAGTGGTTTCCACCAAATTCCTATTCACTGAGGTTCAATAAAGCGAACATCATTTGTAACTTCAGAGGGCCAATTTGAATTTTTAAAGATGCCTTTTGAAGTGAAAATTCAAACTGCGTGCTTCAAGATGCCGTAATAAGACCGTGAGATGAGTTTTTATATTCAAATATCGTGTTAAGATTCAATAAAGCTGGGTTTTAAAAATAATAAAACTATTGTATACCCCCACCTGCATATCATCGATTTTTTCACAAAAATAATAAAGAAATAAATTGAATAGGCTAGGCTAGATACTGAAAAAAAAAACAAAAAAATGAAATTACACCTTATAGCAAATCGCTGCAGTTGCGCAAATGGATAGGTAGGACGCGTTATGAGTAGAAAGTAGAGAAAAAGAGACATCGAACAAAGTTAAAAAGTTTAAATGCCCATTACTTATGGCTGATATACTAGATAACTTAGTATTTAGTACATAACCGAACGTATAACTACTCAAACCCAAAATTTAAAAACACTGAAGACTTCAGCTCCTATACTTTCGATATATCAATCAATAACTGAATTTCTATAGCGCTTTTAATCAATTGCATTAAAATGGATACAGTTATCTATTGTTTAAGTCATATTTATTTATTATTTGTGCATATTAAATAGCACTTAAGAAAATACAAATGAGTAATTTCAAGTCTATAGCGTAAGTCGGTTATGAGATTGACGTGTTTATATATACGGACAGACAGACGGACACAGGTAAATCGGACCACCTTATCGGCATGATCAAGAATATATTTACTTCAAGGGCTCTGACATGCCTCCTTCTGTGTGTAACATACATTTTAACAAAACGATTAAGCCCTGATTTCCATTTTCTATGGATTCAGGGCATAACAAATAAGAAAGCTTTTGTCGGGGTCCCCGAAAAGGAGATACGCTGATCCAAGCCCTATCTGCGTAGTTAAATATTTTCCGTAATTTGTATCAGTATTAAAAAAAAAACAAGTAAGAAAGCTCTAGTCGGGGTGTCCGAACAGGAGATACCCTGATCCCAGTGCTATCTGCGTTTATTAATTTTTTCCAGTTTGTATCAAGTATTCAAAAAAATAAAAAAAACGACATTACGAAACCAGGATTCGAACCCGGATTGTTTGCGCAACGTGCACTAACTCTGTCGCCACTTCATAATTTAAAAAAAATAAAATAAAAAACAATAAAAAATGTCCCGTCGCCGATAGGCTTGAACCCGGGACCAACCGCTAACGGATACCGTCTCTGCCAACGCAGTCACTGGACTGCTTATGTAAGAAGTTGCAAATTTTAAATTAAGTAAATTCATCACAATTCAATCGCAATTTCGATTCTTCGAATAGAAAAAATACACGCATTTGAGTGTATGTGTGCACACGCATAGGAAATTTGCAAATTGGCCAAACGTTTTGTTTAATAACTTCTGTTCTACTTAATGGATTTTAAAATTTTCAGCATATGCTCTACATATTCTATTGGCTTGCTAGAGATGCAAACGCCTTCACATAATGGCTCTATTTCCAACTAAGCTTTAATTTTAAGTATTTGGGGAAATTTGGAGCCAGGTATCCAAAATCCAACAAAAATAAAAATTTCACAAAATATACTTAAAATTAAAAACTCTAGCTTTTAAGACATACGAGATATAATTTATTAACAGCATTTCGATGATGTTTTTATTCGATAACTATTCGAATATTTGAAACAGACTTGATATGCGCGTGCTATACACGGCCTACAAGTCTCTCGCTCTTATGCTGAGATCGACGCGTTCACACTTAAGGACAGACGGATGGACAGACAAACTTACAGACGGACGGACAGGGCTCAATCGACTCGGCTTGTCGTCCTGATCAAGAATATATATACTTTATGAGATCTGCATAGCCTCCTTCTAAATGTTACATACATTTGCACAAAATCATTATACCCTGATTTCCCATTTTTAATGGGATCAGGGTATAAAAAAGCTCTAAACGGTGGTGCATCAACACTGCCACTTCATATAAAAAAAAATCAAAAATAGCAACACAAGTAATAGTTTCCTTTCTAACTGTGTTCCAAAATCTTAAATTTTAAATTTTTAACCGTTTCATTCCCCCATGTTATGTAGTCTTTAGTTTTTATAGCAACGGAAGAAAGGCAAACAGTAAGTCAAACATTGCATTTAACCAATCATATTAACACAGTGAAGTCTATTAATTTAAATTTAAATTAGCATGAGATACATATATTATTAATAAATAAATATTTAACCCCTAAGAAAGTAGATAGTTTATATGTATTACAATAAATAGGTTAAGAATACACATATAAGATAACTTATGCATATGAATGCTCTAAAATTAAATCGCAATATTTTTTAATGACAATGTTGTCAAACTCGGCGCTGTAAATAAAGTCATGTTATTTCTGACTATAATAGCTTATCATGTAGGGCGTCAGCGTGTGATGACATATTTGACTTAATGATATAAATGCTATCATTGCAACCCTGACTGGAACATTGAGATTTGGAGCTAGATGGCATGTTGTACATTTCATCAAGATCTTGGCTACGACGAAATCTGTGTGGATAAGAAACGGTTATCTTCTTAGCAGACATATAATTGTATTGTATTACTTACGTACTTACAGGCCTACTATAAGTGGAATTCACGGAACTTTCTAACGGGTTACTATTGTTGCTGTTACTGTCGATATCGTGATCGTTTATATTATATAGATCGCAATTGTCTAAGTACTCGGATCGTATAAACGTGTTTACGTCATTATCATTATTATCTGTGTAGTCTTGCTCACTATCGCGTTCCTGCTGTGACTCTACCATACACAGCCATTGGGAGTTATGATTTCGAAACTTTTCTAGCTTTATGGAATAAAAAAAGAAAGAAATATTACAAAAAACAAGTAGGAATAAAAATTTAAGTACTTTTTTAGCTTCATCACCGGAAGTAGAACCGGTGTATTAAAACTTATCAAATGAAATCACACCTTAACATATTTATCTAAAACTAAAAATCTTTACGCTTGAGTAAGCACGGGCAGCTGAAAATACCATTAATTTATATTACTATATTTTACTATTACTACTATATATAGATATATTACTATATTACACATTGGCTATACACGGATAATATACGTTAATGCAAAAGCCATACATCGTATGATAGAACCGGATGAAACGTTGTTAAATCGATACAAATCTACGCGCACCACTTATTTTCACTACCTTTTTCAGATATATTTTTTAAATATGACCATAACATTATCGATGATAGATGAAATAATAAGAGAAAACTAAAATATATTTCATTCGATAATTTCTTGTCTTACTTTTCATTTAAAGGCCTAATCATTTTTGACATTAATTAATATTAAAAATTTTACTTTGAGAAGAATATACGAATTATCTACTAACTAATTAACTTGCTAACCACGTCATTATAATTAATATTTAAATATATAATTTTTTCTAATTTGAGTGAAATTGTTTACTTACTTTAATACGCCTGGCCCACTCGCTGTCGCTAATCGCAATTATATCTAGACAATAATCACACACTTTTCTAATTTCTTCATTTTTGTCATGCATAAGATCAATAAGATAGGCAGGCGACTCAGTTTCCTTAATCATATACTCCCGTGTGCTTTCGTGTCGCAATATCTGCTGGAACACAAAAATGATTTGTAGGACAATCTCATCATCCTCTTGCTTGGCCTTTAATAGCTCAATTAGTGAAATCACGACCTTTGCGCGACAGAAAAGGAGCGCACAAAGCTCATCACATGCACATGTTCCAAGATAAACTATAGTATCAAGAACAATATCGTCAAGTCTTGCGCAGGGTACAAGCACTTTCCGTATCCAAGATATTAGCTGAAAATTCTGCAGTATTTGCGAATAATCTAGATCAGTTAGTGCTAAGTTTCCTAATAAACCTAAACACTCAACAATAAAAGATTCATCTTCACAAATCGTCAGTATACGCGCAAGATCCCCTACATAGTCTATGTATTGTATTTGCAGCGATTCATGTTGTGAAAGATTGCGTAATAGTTTCATCAACAGGGCATCCTGGTACTTGAAAGCTCGATCCATTAGACTGTGCAGACGTCGACCTTCAACCATAATTTGTGCATTGCGTCGGTTTAATGACAAATTTATACAAAGAGCTATAAGATCCAGATCAACTTTAACATTAAGATTCAATATTATAGCATCTGTGGCCATTTGTACGCACTCCGTATGCATAAACATAGACTTGACCCTATCGTCAAGGCTCATATGATAGAGTATCTTAACTGCAACGCCGTGATGCTTTTCGTCATTGATAAGCATAACTAGCATAGGTAGATAGCCAGCTGCAACCATTTTAAGGCGCAGAGTCGCATCAAACGATAAATTGAATACTAGTTTGAGAGTGACTTGTACCAAATCTGTATGCGGATTTTGAAATAACCGTGGTAGTTTCTGGACTACGTTTAAGACGAGCATCTCATCCTTGTTTTCGTCAACAATAGAAAGCTTTTTAAGAAACGTGCTGATCAACATAAGCAAGTCTATGTTCTGTCGGTCAAGTGCCTTTACAAGCATCCTAACAATGTTCTTTCGTCTCATTTTTTCCTCAAGCTTTACATTCTCGGCCATGTTAAGCAACAGATAAAATGCAACACGAAGTAACTGTTCCTGTTTCTTGGCAAATATTTTAAGTTGTTTGTTAAGTCGATCAATTTCCTCTTTTTTCATTTTAGGATCGTTTTGATCTAATGAATCGATGCTTTGCGCTTTTACCTCAATCGGATAAACGCTTTCTAATGCATTTGCATTTGAATTAGCTCCAGAATACAGCGCCTCATGATAACTGTTGTTTAGCATTTGATTTCTCATAAGCGAAGATGACATTGTTCCATGAAAGCTACTCCAATTACCTGACTTTGGGCGTTGCTTTAATTCTGGTATTCTCCGACGGGGCGGTTCCATCTGAAAATGAAGATTTTTCTATTTATTGCGTTACCATTATTTAAGTATGGGCCTTCAAAATGTTATAAAAAATAAACTGCTTACATTAAAAGAAAATAATGGTATTGGATTTTAAATTCTCAATTTAAGTTAAGGCTTTTAACTTTAGCTCTCGGATATGTGTATCGACGGATACAATGAACCGCAATTGGTTATTAGTAAATAAGTCTTTTTACAATATTTCCTTTTTATTTCCTTATATTTTGTCATGTCATATTAAATTATATTCCGTATTATAAATATTATCAATAACAATCGGTTCCAATATAAACAAAAAGAATATTGAAGTCGGGCGGTACCGACTGCTTAATACTCAGTACCGATCTATACGCGTCCATGTCCTGTGAAAGATATGGTTTTTTCCAATATATAATATATAATATATATAAATATAATTTTTATTTGATATACAATATAAATGCTTTGTGACTGACACAAGTGGGCACTGTGAAATTTAATTAAGAAAATTCAAATTCAAATTTCAAAGAGTACGGTCTTACATGCGCAGAATAGTGATAATAGATAGATAAATAAATAAACAAATAAAACAAAAAAGTAGAGACTGCAAACCGGCTGTTTTTAAGCAGCAAAATGATGCCTTTAGGAGACGTTGACGAAAGTAATATTTTTGCGTGGCAAAAAGTACCACGATAAATTAAACGGAAAAATGAAGGGTCTCTATCTGTGAGAAGGAACTCTACACTGGCCCTTCTACATCTCGGCAAGCTAACCTCTGTGCCCTATTGGCAGACAAGGAAGACGAAGAGACTAACAAATCAACAAATGCAACAACAGATGAAGTCGAAATGGATACTGCGAAAATTGAAAAACCACCTCCAATTTTTGTTCCCAATGTGAGTGACATACATGGATTTCCTCAATTCCTCAACCCCGACGCGACTGAACGCCACATATAAGACACAACCAGACGGACATATTCGCATTATAATAAAAACTGTTGAAAAATATAGCAGCGTAGTTAAACTATTAACGGCTAAAAAAGTAGACTACCACACATTTCAACTAAAGCAGGGAAGGTCATTTATAGTTGTAATTAAAAACTTGCATCACTCGACACCCATCGGCATAATGAAGCGTGCAATAGAAAAGCAAGGTCACGCAGTCAGAGAGATTCACAATCTCAAGAGTCGTATTACCAAGAAGCCACTTCCAATGTTTTTCGTAGACCTGGAACCTAATAAAAACAATGTGAAGATCTACAAAACAAAACATGTTGAGAATGCCATAGTAACAATCGAGCCGACAAGGAAATTGAGCGACATGGTAAAATGCTTTCGATGCCAAGAATTCGGGCACACAAAAGCTTATTGCAACAAAAAATTTAAGTGTGTTAATCGGCGTGAATTGTACCAAATCGAAAGATGCACCAACCACCTGTGCCGACTGCTTTGAGAGCCAAGCTGCTAGCTACAAAGGATGCAGAGTCTATCAGTCTATTACAAAAAAACAAATCTATCGATAACAAAACAGATATGGCTAATGAATGACCAAGATTGTCAATAAACACTACGAGTACTACGAGGTGACCCTGTCATTAAAGAAAACTCTTCTCTAAAAAGAATTGAAAAACTGTTAGTAAAACAATCTGAAGTAACAAATAATTTACTTAATATGATAATGTTACTTGTAAATAAGTTATGCAATTAGATCTCCGCATAGCCATAGGAATGCTAACGGGCTTTCCAGTCATCGTAATGAAATAACCTTATTTATTAAAGTCAACAAAATTGATATATTACTTATTTCAAAAACACATTTTACTAACAAAAATTCTATGGCCATTAGCGGGTTTAACATCATTAATGCTAACCACCCATCTGGAAGAGCACAAGGAGGAAGTGCAGTTATTGTAAAAAATACTTCAAAATACACAGAATTAGCACAAATATTATGCATGCACTCCACTACATCTATTGCTGCAGTATATCTAACACCAAAATAAGCAAAGACTTGGTAGATGCTTTATTGCTGGAGGTGACTATAACGCAAAGCATCCATTGTGGGTGTTAAGTCTGGTAAATCCAAAAGGTGCTGAATTATACAAATGTATCAACGTCAACAAATACTCAACTTTATCGACAGGCATGCCGACGTACTGACCAACTGATCCACGTAAGATCCCAGATTTTTTAAATTTCATTGTTTACTCTCAGCTACCGCAAAATAATTTTAAAATAGAAGAGAACTTTGATATGAGCTCTGACCACTCACCGATTATAGCAACCTATGGAACTACAGTGTGTCACAAGCAGAAGTCTTATAGAATTATTAATGGTAAAACAAACATAAACGGATTTAAAAACTGGCTAGAAGACCGAACATGTCTAAATATTTCACTCAAGTCAGGTGATGAAGTTGAAATGGCAATTAAATCACTCACAAACTCGATTCATGCTGCTGGTTACATGTTTACACCACCACCAAAAGAAAATGTAAATAGGCAAGTTTTTCTGCTACTAGAACTTAGAGCAGAAATAGCTGAAAAAAGAAAACTGCGGAAAACATGGCATCCGACAAAAGAAAATTCAACAAGGCACTCAAAGACTTAAACAGTAGACTAAAAAATGAAGCTACAGCAGAATATTTAAGGAATCTTGACCCATATACAAGTGACTTGGATCACAGCCTTAGGAAAGCAAATAGGTATCTTAAGAGACTAACCAGAAGAGCTACTACAATTCCCCCAGCAGAGGACAACGCTTCTTAAGCCAAATCTGGAAAATGATCCTGACACAGTAAATGAGGTTGACCAATTTCTAGAAACTGCTTGCCAGATGAGCCTACCAATACACCACACGACTATTGCACTATTGGAAGAGGAAATAAAGATCATAAACAAGAAGAAAGCGCCAGGATATGATCAAATAAGCGCAAATACCATTAGACATCTTTCGCCGAAATGCATCCGATTGCTCACTCAAATATACAATGCTATGCTAAGATTGAAATACTTCCCAAGACAGTGGAAATATGCGGAGGTAATCATGATTCTCAAACCCAACAACGCAGAGGTTGTCATATCGTCCCATTAGTTTGCTGGTGATATTCTCTAAAGTATTAGAAAGAATACTTTTAAGAAGAATTTCACTGGAGCTGGACGAACTTAATATCTTACCAAAACATCAGTTTGGGTTTAGAAGACGGCATGGAATACTCGAGCAATGCCATCATATAACGCATGCAATTATTGATGCATTTGAATGCAAAAAATATTGCACATGTGTCTTTTTAGACATTAAACAAGCGTTTGGTAAAGCCTGGCATGCAGGTCTTCTTTACAAAGTTAAGAAGTGGCTGCTAGCACCATACTTTACTATTATAAAATTGTACCTGGCAAGCCGATCCTTTTATGTACAAGAACACGACGAATCATCCAATATATACACTTGTGAAGCTGGTGTTCCGCAAGGGAGTGTTGTGGGTCCAGTTTTGTATACAATTAACACAGCTGACCAACCTACAACAAACGCTATTGCGATAGCAACAAATGCTGATGATACCGCAATCATTGCCACGAACACTGACCCACAAGTTGCATCCAACTTACTCCAATAAGAACTCGGTCTGATTGAAGTATGGCTTCAAAATTGGAGAATAATAATGAACACGCAAAAGTCAGTGCAAGTTACATTTTCTCTGAGACCTGGAAGTTGTCCTGCAGTCACACTAAACGGTCATGCTATACCTGTTAGTGAATCGGTCATAAATCTAGGTGTTCATCTTGATCGGCGGCTAACTTGGAAGCAGCTCATCAAATCGAAATGAGAGCAGCTCAAGGTGAAAACCAGGAAAGTGTATTGGCTTTTAGGACCACGTTCTGAACTTAGTCTTGAAAACAAATTAAGGCTATATAAGGCCGTACCGAAGCCAGTATGAACCTACGCATTGCAGTTATGGGATACTGCTAGCAATTCAAATATCGAAATTGTACAGCTATACCAGACTCTCAGAATGATTACATGTGCACCCTGGTATGTGACTAATTATAATATTCACAAAGATGTTAAGCTGCCCCTTGTTAAAGAAGAAATACAACTACATGCAAATAGATACATGAATAAACTACATAACCACGACAATGTTCTAGCACTAAGACAACTTAATGACTCAAGCAACCACAGGCGACTCAAAAGATTACATGTCCCAGACCTAACCCAGAGAAATAGATAAATATGTAAAGTAAGTAAATATATGGATTGATCTCATTGGAGCCCAAGCTATACGGTTACGTAATATTATTATTAACAAATTTGATTATTGTCTAGTATAAGACAGATTACAAATAGGAATACAAAGGGACGGACGGAGGCGTAGAAAATCGGATAAAACAGTTTCTTCTATAGTTGTTGAGCTAGAACCGCAAGTAATTTATTGTAGAGATCCTGTACATATCTAGAAAAAAGTAACAACAGGCGTTGGAGACAAGGCTAGTGACAGTGAGATTGTACTTACGAAAATATATTTAAATTTAATTTATGTAACTCCATTAGTGTTAAAATATAACAGAATTGGTACAAAACACTAAATAGTAAAAACTTAACTTTTACGAAAAGGGGCATTTCTTCGTGGGAATATTCCTATTAAATAAAAATGTTACATATGTTCGGAGCGACGATTAGTGTAAATACCATTTCAAAAATAGATTTTAAACTGAACCATTCGAGTATTGGAATTCAAAATGTAATGGTTTTCTTTAAATATATGTACCAGGCAGAAGAATGCGTGGCAGAATCCATAAATTAATTATATTCTTGATCAGGAAGAGGAGAAGAGTCGATATAATCAATGAAAAATTCTTTACTTTATTATTTACTACGAAAATACAAAGATTATATATCTACGCCCATAAAAGTCTGTATATAGTATAGAACTTTCTATTTATTGATTGAGTTGATGTTGGCCTCATCTACCGTTGCACCAGAATATGTTTATTCCACTTTGGGAGTATGGCATACAGAAAATACGCTTTAATTTCCAAACTATAGAGACTAACCCTACAAATTTTATATCAGTATTGACTCCTATGTATTAGTCAGGTTTAAACATATAACAATTTATAATGCTACTATGACATTTATTTGAAAAAAAAAACAGCGGCTCTAAATAATTATTTAATGGCAATCTAAGTTCCGGCACTGAGCAACAACTTTGTAGACTAGAACAATAACATATAAACCTGTGATAGGATCAAGCAGTATTGGTTACTTACGTCTATTGGTTTTTCTTCTTTCATAATATCCAAAGAATCTTCCGTACTACGATTCAGCATATCTTTACCGGCATTCTCTGATGGAGTGGAGCTACTGGGCTGCTTACGGACATCCAACTCATTACGCATGGTATCGTAACGACGCAACTCAAAGTCGATGACATCCATACATAACGATCCTATCTGTTATACAATGGCCTATAAACTTTTAGCAAAAAAGTAATTCTTATGACTTACCTTGTACTGCACAATAAGAGGATGAAATTTTGTGTAAGTTGAAAAACAAAAAAAAATATAAATTATGTTTGTGGACAAATCCAAGCTTTTACGCCAATCTTCACGGAGCACGCGAGCTAACGCACTGAGGCAGGCATCTGCAAAAATATTATTAATCTAAAAGCCATTGACTTATATAACAATCAAATTCACCATTTTTTTCTAACTCTTCCAGATTATCGGGATTGCGAGCTATCTGCAGAATCATAGCTGAACCACGTACTCGCTCGCTGAGCTCCTCGTAGAGCAGTTCCACATACTCGTCAATGTTGTTAATGGTCACATCCGCCGTTGATTTGGCTTTTGTTGTGTTACCAGTTGAGCCCAATCCTAAAGTGTTACTTGATATGGCCGCCACATTGTTATATGGCCGTGCTGAAGACCGCATATAAGATGTCTGTATAGTCGAAGACTTACGATTGCTTGAATGTGGATTATCTACATTTATAAATATATTTATAGTTATCAACACATTATTGAGGAAAATATAACTAACCATTGCTAGCATTATCTTTACGATTTTTTAGATAGAATATAATTTGCTCCACTTCATTCAGCTGTGACTTATGTATAAGTTCACATTTATCTACCACTTCCCGAGCCAACACAGTTGGATTAGTTTTCGTATTCAACGAACGTAGGCGTATGATTTTTTGGCAATGCTTTATCATCAGAAAAATGAATTTATTATGTATCCAAGTGATAAAAAATATGTTTATAGTTAAATATATTGGAATTTGCATTATTTACAAACAATAAAGAGCAAACTGATTTTATAATTTGGAGACTGTTTTGGATCTATTTTGGATGGTTAAACAAAATATAAAATAAATTAATCTGAACTTAAAAAGAAATATTGTTTTAAATAACTGGTCGTAATAATCTAAGGCAAAAGTAACTGTTACGAAAATGTTGTGATTAAAACCTTTTTCTCCTCAATCATGGGGTTGTTGGGTTCTCCAAACACGGTGGCCTCGAGCTGATAATTGACTATTAGTGCCTTATCAGTTGGATGCGGTTCAATACAGCCACCTTTCCAGCGTCTGTAACAAATGCGAATTAAAAAGCATATATTTATTTCACAACAATTTTTTAATATTTGCTCAGCCATTATATGTATACCCTGAATGTGAATTCATGAAAATTCAAAGTATCTTTTTACTATTATTTATATTTATTCATCCAACAGCAATGTTATAGTCATGTATACTATGTCCACCAGTACGAGTGTTGTAACGCATCGAATACAAACCATTTCGAAACTATTGAATTCAGATTCAGATTAAACATATATATATATACAGTTTGTCAAGCACACTGAAAAAAACTACAATTTTGACCTAAGATGCAAAATGAATGGCCTTTTATACAAATGAAGGTTTTGAGATAACACCTCCAGCATGTATTAAATGCTACGGGAGGTCATACTAAATATTAAAATTAGCATAATTTGCTTTCTTTTTTAAATAGACGACAATCAAAGTGCTTAGTGTAAACAGTTTTATGAAAACTTAAAAATGAATAATTTTAGTTTTATTGTATATTTTGTTACAGACTTTGTTTTTTATAATTGAACTTAAACGTTATTAAAATGTCATTAAAAAATTATATTATTATCTTATCTTAAGAGTATATTGAGAGTAAATCCACTATATATATATATTTTTCCTTTAAAAAAGAATATAATTAATGTCCAAATAGTCAATGCTCTACCACTATGGACATAGATTGACCCATACTCGAACTTTGAATATATCCAGTAATGGATAATAATTCAATCATCTTCATAACAAAAAACATCTCAGAGAATCATAAAACGTAACTATGCAAGTCCATGGTATTCCGGTCTTGCACGAAAAAACAGATTATAATCCTTCATAAAAAATAACAGAGTAACCAATCACTGATACGTTCCTGATGATATTCGACAGCAAGTTTGAAACAAAGGTGTTTCCTTGAGAACATTAAAGTACTGTCATATGACATCTAGGCTCAGCCACATCGACGTTCTTTAACTTCATTGCTAATCTATTAGAAGCCTACCATATGTATGGCCATAAGCCGTGACGCCTGGACTCCGATGTCTGCACCGTTTAACGCATCCGATTTTATTCTAGATATTGGATTTCTACTCCTTAAGACGTTCCAGAAACAGAAAACCAGTAGTCTTAGCAAAATATCGATATTGTCAGTATGTTGAATCTCGAGGGCGGCCTTCATCTTTGCAAGAAAACTTTTTTTTGTTTTCAATAAATTATGTAACATATTTGACCAACTTGTGATTATAATACATCAATCGGACCACATCAAAACTTAATCTCTTGCCAGGCATTTTAAAAGTTAAAGTAATTCAGTTTTAGATAGGTACTTAACAAAATTTGAAAGAAATGAAAAAATTAACATGTATCAAGAGATGCAAAAAGCATAGATAAGGGTAAAGCACCGTTATTTCTAAAAGTTAGGTCACTGAATTGCAAGATGCAATGTGTAAACAGTTTCTTGATAGCATGAAAAATTAGTAATTTTAGTTTTTGTAGTTTATTTTGTTAGTCAATTTTAGTTTTGTTATCTTTTTTATAATTAAACTCAATAATAATTAATAATAATAATAATAAGAATAATATTTTGGTACCCCCTACATTATTAATTTGTTAATTAGGTTTATTATACACATGAAAAGTGTATACGAATGTGTGAATATGAATGATCATCCAGTTATACGAAAAACTTGATAATTAATTTATGGTCTTGGTAATTTTGATGTAACAAATAAGTAAAAATCGATATTCTTGGGTGGAAAGTCCATTTACTATTACTATTGTACTTGGTAGGACGACTACGAGCTAAGAGCTTAAGTTAACGCTTATTATTACTGCTTTTTCTTTTTCTGTTATATTCATTTACAAAAGGCAATTACGGAATATTTATCTATGTAAGAAAATATACTTTAATTATGTATACGTCTTTATCTACAACTTTGTATCCTTATAAAAAAAAAACATTTCAAGATACATAAGTTTTCTTATTCTATTGGCGGGGGTTGTTACTCTAAGCAAAAATCGATAATAACAATAGGTTAGAAAAGTTTTAACCACTTAACTATGTTGGTAATTTCAGTACTTATTTTTTAAAGATGTCCAATTTGCTTAAATTACACAGAAAAACTAAAATCGTGAACCATCACAAAAATATACAGAATAATCTTGTTTCTAGTGCTACGTAATACAATTTTCTGCACCCACTTTTTAATAAATTTTGCATCATCATTTGTTTGCATTGCTTCTGCGCTCGAAAAAATTTTACAATACTTAAAAAAAAACACAGGCACTTTTTTTTGTAATTCTATTTCAGTTACAAGCGGGCTGCTCGATGGTTTTTTAAGTGTTATAGATGATATTAACGTTGTGTTCGTTCTTCGAGGCCCGGTTGTGATACGAAAGTCACCCACAAAAGCGTTTATTATGTAATAAATATAATGAATAATAATAATAAGCAGAACAAGTCCCGATGTTACTTGAAAGAATAGAAAAAAAAGCAATTGCATTCGTTTTCCCGATACGAAATATGACAATGAGTTAGGGAAGCACGATATACATCGAATGGTTTAAAACGATATCTTATCGATATAATAAATTACACTAATATGTAATATATAGTCGATAAATATAATAAGAATCGAGTAATCGATGCATTAAAAATATTTTTATTTTTATTGTTGCTTTCACTCCGTGTGAAGTTTAGGTTGGGGTTACTATTCAGGCTCTAAACAATAGTATTTTAAGCATCAGATGCGTTTCTTACACGGTTTAAACAAAAGTGATTTGATTAAAGCATTTAGATCAGGTGAATAGACCCGAAGAAATATAGAACCAGGACCTGGATAAATACAATCGTACATATTTGGAAAAGTGCTCAGTATATTTGTTATGATAATTCAACACTTGCGACATAGATGAATGCCCGGTTATGGCTCCCAACCGATCATTCTAAAAGCATTGCATATAATCATTCATAATTAGCATTTTGGGAGAGCGTGTGGCTCAATAAGTTTAGTGCAACGCCAGCTCGGTGACTTACGCATTAATAACCTTCTGGTTTAAACCAACTGATTTAAATTCTGTTTGTTTTTTAAGAAGGAACCAAAGCGTGAACAACGTTAGCTGTAAGATTATTCGAATTCACAATCATGTTAAAAATATTTTTGCTCATATTAAAAATATTTTATAATATTAAACATAATAATGGTAATATTTTCTTAGTTTAATATAACTTTGCTTTAATAGAGCAGGTGAACAGTAACTTAATTATTTGTAAGTCTCTAGCTCAAGCTCTGTAGAGTTTACTTCTTTCCCACGATCCCGTATAAATTAAGTTTGGTTGTCTTTGAAGTCTCTGAAATTATCCAACGTTTGTTGATATGATGATGGTCTTCCTTGTCTTGTCCTGGTTGTTACGTATTTCGATCAGTACTGTCTTTGTGGCTCAGCAATGAAATATACAATTTGACGGCAATGCCGTAGTAATGTCATTATTACAAGTGAACTCTTAAAAGGCTTGAACAAAACTGCGTTTAAAGCCGTCAGCGAGCTCAGTCATTAGCTAAACAAAATACAAAAATACAACAGGATCTGAAGCTACAAAATTTCAAGGCTAAAGCCGGCAAGTCGAATCTAAGTGATAACACGGATCTCGCAGTGTCAGCACCATGAGTGCTATCATTAGCCACTAACATTTTTATTTACGTTAACAACTATGTGAGAGGCGCAGTCGTTAACTACTCCCCCTTAGAAGTATGAACAGTCTCGTTCATCTTAAAATTATCAATGACTTCCTGTGTCTCCCTCAAAGCTCGTCTCCTCCTTCATCATTGTGTGAAGAAGATGAAGGAAGTGAACAAAGAATTGAGTACAAGTCCCACAGTACATTATGACTTGGACAATCCCACAGGTTCTACCCATTATTGTCGTCGTCGGAGACAGTCAAAATTTAATTTTTCTGCAGACGGACTTAGTCATTACACAAATAATTGTAATATAAACAATACTTTCTGATTAGAGGACTGAACTAAATAACTAACTGCCTAACTATGTGTATCTCTGTATGATTTACAATATTGGACTTTTTCAAGTGTGATAGTAAGCATCAGATTTGGAATCTCAGTTATTAATATTATATTTATTGTTAAGGACTGTGGAGTGTCCAATAACTCGTTTCTCTTTGCGTATACTATTATTTTGTTTAATGTCCCAAGTATCTAAGTCTGCAGTATCTGGTGTGCCAGCAACAACCCAGCCAATAACCCTGTAGGGGAAACCAATTCATTAAAATTAAAACTACTACGTAGATTAAAGCTATTTCAGATTGTCTTTATGGACCGCCCTGCCATCTTATGAGAGCTAAAGTTCTCAAGTCTGCTTGTCTTCTGTTCGTTTTTCTTGAATTCTTTTTGGCCACTTCAAACACTCGGTTTTGCCTACGTGGGTTGTTTCTATTCAGTTGAGATTGCTGTGCCTTCTCTTTTTTGTTCTTGATTTAATTTCTAAGTTTTTTAGTAAATGCCTTTCCTAGATTGGCTAGTATCATGAAAATGTTTTGCATCGGGTATTTATTGGCGACTGTTCGCTCAATTAATTTTTTAAAACCACAGACGAAACGCTTTTTTCGTTTTCGTCATGTCCTTTTTTGTCAACAACTCGGGTCGGATCGTTATACGATGGCGATAATGTCATTTCGTAGTAGATCATTGATTTCTTTTTTTATGAATTCAACTACTCCCATGGGATGTGGGTATAATTTTGAACATACCGGGTTGTCATCAATCATTCGGATTTTGGCAACATACGGACGTATTAAACGAGCGGTCGAAAAAGGCCGTTGCCGTGTTGAGAATCATGCTCCTAAATTCTGCATTTATTCATGTGCCGCCCTGCATTAGCAAGTTGAACCCCATGATGCCATCAAATGGTGTTAACGAGTTAAGAAAGAAGGTGGTACTTCTACCAGAAATGTTCATGGAACATATATGTCAGAACCATGTATGAAAATAACTGAAAAAGGGGAATCAACCAGCCAACCGTCGTTCGTTGAACGGTAGGCGGGTGCGTTCCCTAAAAGAATGCAACGGGCTATCATACAGACTCACTTTCGACGTCCATCTCTTTGTTCTCGAGGAATTTTGCATTTTTTGGCCTAGTTTGTTTTGAACCCTCTCGCTGTTATACCTGTTTCTTATTATAGGTATTCTTTTTTTTGCTTCGCTCTAGAGTAGAACGCTGAGAAAGCGCATTTCTCTAGGCTGGCCTCTGAGTCTCTGGCTAAAGCCAGTGCAGACGGCAGATCTTTTGGTTTTTTAAGGCTGGGGACAAATGCGCGCAACGCATCTTCCCCAAATTCCTCGTTCAATGAGGTGGCTCTGTCTATGTCGTGTGATGCTACGACAGGCATAACTGTCTCTAGGTCTTGTCTTAGGACCTGTAGAGGTGTTCTATCCACGTAAATGTCGTCTAATCTAGCTACCATAGCGTCAAAGTTTAACGGTGTCTGATAACGCCAACAGCGACTTTGTGGCACCCCTTATTTTGTGGGCATAGCTACGTCGTACGGCCTGCCTCTCTCCACCCTAGGTACTCAACATGGTCACCATGAAACTATGGGATAGTTTCATGATGCCCAACGGCACATCGTCAGGGTTAGCCGTGATATCTTGATACACCTGAATTCTTTGTGTTATTAAGATTTGGGCACCCACTGAGCAAATGCAACTAACTGCGCTTTGACACAACGATTTACTCTAAATTTGTTTTTTCTCGGCTTATGTGTAGGGTGAGTTTTCTATTAACGTTGGGCGCCAATTAAGTTTAGGTGTCTCTTTGAAGTCTCTACAATGATCCAACGTTTGTTGATGTTCTGGTCTTCCTTGTCTTGTCCCGCGACGAAGCGTAGCAGGATCTTTTCTTGGTTGTTACATATTTCTAACAGTACTGGCCCTGTGGCTCAGCAATGAAGTATTAAATTTCACGGCAATGCCGGAGCAATGTCTTTATTTCAAATGAACTTTTGAAATCCAAATGAACAGAACTGAGTTTAAAGCCGTTAGCGAGCTGAGGCATCAAAATATACAAAAATACAAAAGAATCTGAAGCTACAAAGTTACAAAGCTACAGCCGGCAAGTCGAACTAATCTAAGTGTGAATACAAATAGCTGTGGTGGTGTTCAGTTGTGTAATAATCTTTATTCGTCTGAGAAAGAGTTCTTATACCCTGGCTCATGCGTATTTCATCTCTTAACCTAAGTACATTATGTAATGAGTGGAGCTCCAAGCGGTAGACATACTATGCTCTCCCGTTGTGTAGCTTCATATATATAGCTTGTATATACTTATATGCATATGGCATAAACATTAGGCAAGCGGCATAGACTTTAGGCAAAGTGCGTACGCGGCATCTCCCGCGCTGCTGTGGTCTGACCATAAGTGGCTGATCATATTACATTTGTTTATTTTTGCGCTCGCCCTATGTTTATGCGTAGGGACAAATGTCACTATATGCGTATTTAGTATACACTATCATATGTTAGGCATATGACGCATCTATATGCAGAATACTCTACATTGCTTCGGGTATTATTGATATGTTATTAAATATAATACAGTATGTTCATGCCTGAACATTCTGCGGGGGGCCAAATGTGACAGCTAGCAATTGCTGCCTCTGGTTTCTCTTCTTAATCCGTGGCCTGCGTCTCCGTCTGTATAGCAACCCAATTTTTCGATGCTTCCCAGAGTTTTCTATGACGTCCATGCACATCGTTGTTGATGCGCTGATTACCTTGTTGGTTGATAATCCAGATATATTGCCAGAGATAATCCATTCAAGTTCGGTCTTTTGTCCCAGGGTTTTGTTGATTTTCTTTACTTTTCCCAACATTATTAAGGGAAGTAAATCAACGCCAATGACAACGTCAATTCGACTGGGCTCGTTAAAATGTGGTTCTGCTAGCGCGCAGCCATTGCAATCCTTATTGACATCCATTTCAATTTTCTTGGTCGGAAGAGCTCTCTGAAGTTTTGGCATAACAAGTGCCTGCTTAGTGGTGATGAATTTGCTTTTAAACCGGGGTTTGATTGTTAAGCAAACACTATTTTTAAGAATTTCTATATTTTGCGAAATTCCTTGAACTTCCACGTTCTGTTTAGTTCGGCGCAGTTTTAACTGTTGTGCAGCTTCTTCAGATATTAGGGTTTTTTGCGAGCCTCCATCTATAAGGGCCCTTAGCTGCTCGTATTTTCCAGACTTATTTTTAATCTGGATGAGCGCTGTCGCCAGCAACGTATCTTGTCCTTTATTTTCATTTAGACAGTTGCTGCTGACGGTCTCATTTTTATTTGCTTCCTCGTGAAGCAAATTGTAGTGTGCTTTGGTGCATTGATTTCAAGTCCAATTCTTTCTGCAATCTTTAACGCTGTGGCTGCCTAGACATCTGTAGCAAAGCGAGTTTTTGAACACAAACTCCTTGCGTTTTTTAAACGGCTCAGCTCTAAATTTCTGACACCTGGTTATTTCATGTCCAGTCAATTGGCAAAAA